AGAAATTTGTATTTCTATTCAGTTCACCATTTCTGGGAAGATCAGCTGAACTGGAACCAAAACCAGCTCGATTTCAATGGCAGGTTTATTCCTAGAAGGAGAAAGAACCCGGCTCTTGCCTCTCAACATAATAATCTGTGCAACTACTCAATTTATTGCTCTGCTACCACCTTATCAGCCAATTTTTATTTAAAACCAACCAATCTTTCTAATTTATTATTATTTAGGAGTAGGCAAATATCCCAATCCCAACATCCTACTCCCATCTTTCTAGAAAATGAAAATTCTCCCGCTGGGATATCAGAAACAGTATTAAAAATTTTATATTGCATAGGGTAAAGTCAGGTTTCCAAAATTATATGAGCACCGTATTCGATGCCAAAGGCACACATATATTTGATGCAAATTCAAAACAATAAGATGAAATTTAAAAAATGGAATGGATGGTAAGATTTAAAAGTTTACAGCAAATTAAAAAAGAGCCAAAATTTACCTTAAAAGCCAAATGACAGAATTCTAGAAAACTAGGAAAACTAAAAAAAATTAAAAATGGGTTACAAAAAGGGTGTATGGATATTTACTCATATTGTTATAGGCAGTTTCTATGTCCGCCAAGAGTCATTAATAAATTCTATTATGGTACTGGCAACAAAAATTTCTAGCCTTACAAAAACTGGTGTCCTCGACTAGAAATGGTAACTAAAAAATTAACATAATATAGTTGTTATCTATTCATGATTGAATCAATATTTTGTACATTTTGTGCATATATAATTTAAATGTATTTTTTTTAAGCTTATAAATGGATTTAAACATAATTCATAGATGAAATAAGAAAAGATTTACTGATTTTTAAGTTATCAGTTTAGAATGATTTTTTACAATTATTTTATCTTTTTTGTATCATTTCATCATTTTTTTTTATAATTTTTGTTTCTTCAAAATATTTCTTTGTGCTTACTGGTAATTAATTTTACAAGCAATTCATAGTATGTTTTTCATGTGTTGGCATTTCAATTTGTTATTAAATACTCATTTTTATTTTTACCATTGACAGTTATTTTTATAATAATTTTGAGAATAAAAGTTGGGTCGCCAACACCATCTAAATTTTTCAATAACATTTACTTCTCTCAAGGTCATGGAATTGAAATTCTGATGCTTGATGGAGATCGCAGCAACCATACTACTCGGCATACCCGTCCCATAGTTTCTAATAACTTACGGATATTTATTTTTTCAGGATTGCTGGGGCGCTGAAAAATTTTTTGAGCGAAATTCGATTCATTTTTGATGGCATCAATAATGTAAGATTTTTCCAATAAATAATGTAAATAAATTGCCTATTACCTTGCACCTTTCTTTTTCGATCATACATTTCGCCGTTGTTTTGGATAACCTTGTTTTGATAGGCTCCATTTCCTTTATAGAGTTTGCTAAAATATCGAATCGCTTATATATTCTTTGATTTAGCGAATGATTTTAAATATTCCTCTAAAGTTTCAAGTACTTTTCATTACCGGCTAAAAGTTGGATATTGTTCGTTTCAACTATAAAACGACATTAACCTGAAATATCGAAGAGTTTGCGTAAGTGGTTCATTACCATCAACTGGTCTTAAAAACACCATTGCTGCTGCTTCGCTGAAGAAATATATCTTAAATTAGTTATATGTGAGATCAATTGGCACCATAAATCCATCTCTGCAGTTTAATTGCCAAATTTTTCTACTGAATTTTTTTAGCTATTAATTTTAATTAGTATTTTCAAGAAATCTATCTATTAATGCTTATCTATTTGGAGTCCAGTTGTTTTCTCAGACTGTAGAGATGCTAACCTTTCCAATAGAATTGTAAGATATTTATTAAAAAGAATGTCTATTTCATTTTCGAGATGTCTATTTAAATTTGTTTAAATTTTTGAATTTTACTAGAAATATGACGCTTCTTTTTCACACTGGAGCTTAAAAATAAAATAAACTGCAAATGTATAGTGATCCAAATTCGTCTAAACGATAAGATTTATTTTCGACAAGAGAAAGGAACCAAACCATGATGATTGAATAGATTAATCAGTGGTTCTTAAATAATAGAGAATTCACCCTTGTAGGAAATCAAAAATTTCGAGGAGAGAATGGATGAAGCCCTGCAAGAAGGACGCGATCTTGCAAGTAGCCTCTCCAATTACCACTAGGTGGAAAGAGGGAGGGATGGGACAGCATATGATGAAATGGGTACAAAGAAATTTGAGGACCACTGCTCTAAGCCGTACTCGTCCCTTACTTTATCCTTCTATATTTATACTTGTCTCTTTAATATTTCAAAATCTTGAAATTATTTTAGTGAATCTATAATCTGTGGCCAATGTAAAATAGCTATATTTCTAGATTGCATTCTCTATAGATCATCTATCACTTTATAATAATGATCAGTTCAAATTTTGTGAAAGTATTTTTATACATAATAAAATTGCTCAAATTTTTATGTACCAATTTTTGCTTAATTATAGAACTGGAGATTTAATTGGAGATTCGAGATACTATTGTTTGGTGAATGGGAAATAGTTAAATGCAACTGCAACCAACTGATATAAGCAACTATTTCTATGAGAAAAAAGTTTAACGAAAAGATAAATTACCTCCAAATTTCTAAATTAGCTTAATAAAATGAATTGAAAATCTCAATGATACCGGTTTACTTTGACCATTTGCTGAAATATACATAACATAAAAGAATGAAATCGTACCGTTGATTTAAAAAAATTGTCAGATTCAGAATGAGTAATAGGGATGCTGCTAGCTTGATGAGCATTATGATAATGATACTCATCTACAGGCGACATTAGCGAGAAATCCAAGGCCGATATGCCACAACCCGCCTCTGCAAAATCATAAGCGTATTTCATAAAAAACCAATCAAATAATTGTCGTCTCCAGAAGCTAACTGACTAACTCCTCATTAGAACATTGTCATTAACATAAATGTCATAACAATATGAAAATATTGAAAATGTTATTTAATAAGCATATAAACGTGAATAATTTTTTGTGCTTAACAAATTTCCACGAAACTATTCAAATAATTCGTGAATTAATCAATCAATCAATTTAACAAATAATTTAAAGAATAGAAAAATTAGAGTTAAAAAAAATTTCTATTTGATTTTCTTAAAAAAGCAACTTTGTGTTGCAGAAATGAAAAAATAAAAAAAATTTGCATTTTAATTTTAGCATTTCCATCTCCTCCTAATTATAATAGTAGCTATCATTTCTGATTGCATTAGTTATCAGGACGAAAAGTCTTCGCCAGAGAGATATTTTGGGATACTGGTAGCATCCTATCACCATGCAGTCGCATTTTAGTCTATTAAAAAAAAAAAAAAACATGACAGATAATTAATAACCGCTTTTTTCATTAGCGTTATGAAAGAAACTGGATTTTCCCATTCCACACTTTTCATCAAAAATTGTATATAATTTTGAATCCTATTCTATTTATTCGATTCAATTCTATTCGATTCAAAAAACTTCTTTAATTTTGGATTTATTTTTGTTTTTTATTATATTTGTTGACCAAAAAAGGCGATAAAACTAATAAATTTTCATATTCTTTATTAATTATTTCATTCATTTCTTTATTATTTTGCTTGCCTTAAAACATCCGGGAAATATTGCAAATGTATTTAAATATTTAAAATTTTTTTAGAGGAAAATATTGCAAAGGTTTGCTGGTTCATTTTTGATTCAAATAATTGGCTTTTGGATTCTTTGAGATAAATTTAAAAAACAAAATATTAAATTGAATTTTCAGGAAAAAAATTTAGAAAATAAATTAACGAATATTATTTATCAAAATGCATTAAAATATGCTGTGCTAAAGAAAATTTTTCTATTCGTCAAAAATGTTTAATGCTTTTTTCATAACTCATTCTCCTCTTTGTTAAATTTGTATATTTATTGTTTTTATTTTTGTAATTATATTTTTATACTTATATTTTTTGTATTATTTTATATTTGTTTATATATACTGTAATTTTTGGTGATTTACTTTTTTTGAAAATTATATAACATGACATGAACAAGTAAAGTTAATGTCCATCATTTCTAATTAGGCTTCTTACTCAGCTACCTGTTAGTACAGTTAGAAATTTTTGTCGCAGAATCCACTGGCGATAGAAATATATAAGTGGGTTGCCAGCATTACCTCATTTTTTACTCTCCTTATCAGTGGCAAGCCAGTGTCTTTGGTCTGAATCGCTATCCAGTCAACTATTAATATGAAAATATTTATAAAATTCGATTGAATTTTGTAAACTCTTGATTCTGCAAGGAAGTTTAAATTCTTTAATTATTTTCAGTGATCAATTTCTCTGATCAATCAATAAAAATTCAAATTAAAAATTCAAAATGAAAGATTTGCTAAAAAATAACTAAAAACTAAGCAAAAACAAAAATATTCATATCAGACAAAATTATATCAGACAGATATGAATCAGATAGAGAGAAAACATGATGAACAAAATTACAAGAAATATGAAAAGGGAATAAAATAAATTTCTTGGAATTTCCAAATTTTTCCAAATTCCAAATTTTTTTTCCAAATTATGCCAAAATAAACGACATTTTCCTGGATGGTCCTTTACAAGATGTAAACCTTCATCAGCATCTATCGTTATTTTTCATTCATTTTAACTCATAAATGAGCATTAAAATGGTGCAAATGCAAGGTTATTATATTTAGCGATCGACACCACTCATTTGGTAAAAATAAAGTAGCAAACGATAAACGATTAGAAATAAAAAGAAAAAACTTTACAAATCGAGAGGATATAAATAAATTTCGACAACTTCACATTTTTCTATTTCAGTTTGCTGAAACTTCGCTATATCTATTTTTAACATTTTAGGGCTATTAATTTTTCCTTTATCACTATATCAAAGTTATTAATGAATAATTTCGTCGAAATAGGTGGGAAAAAAAATCAGACAACTTCGACTCTTCTTAATTCTTTGTTAAATTTGCTGCATTAACTTCTTTTATATCTAAATCTATGGTGCCTAGATCGTAACTGTCTGGTGCAAATATGCGTTTAAGAGGCATTCGTACCACATCGCCATTTTCATTATTACAGTAATGTAGAATCTGGAGATAAGGTTCAGGATCGTTCATTATACCAGGTATCCAATCATGATCGTCACCACATCCATCCAGAGTAAACGTGCCATCCTCATTCGTAAATGTGATCCTACAAAAATCAAAAAGAAAATCGAAAACCATGAATGAAAATTTTCGTAAGCAGTTCGAGAAAAATTATTATAATTATAAAAATTTCAAATTTATTTCAAATTTCCATAGTATGAAAATTATTCGACTCTCTTTGAAATTTCAAGCAAAAAGAAAAAAACTTACGCCATTAGGTCATCTGGATCTATAATTTGTGCTATCGATATGCCATCGCGATCGTAGGCACGAATTTCAACATTTATATTTTTGGTGGAATCTTTGTGACAAATAACTTTTCCATGAATCCAAAGACATTTATGGCCAGCATTAACTGACGAAAATATTATTGCAAATATAGAGAGTAATATTTTATACATCACTTGAAGATCTAAATGACTGAAATAAAATTTAAGAGAAACAGAGAAAGCAAATTATGATTTTAAAGTGCTGGAAAACATAGCAGTTTATGGTTTATCGTTGAGAGGCAACGTTTCAGATAGGTACCCCTCCACCAAGCAAGAATAAACTGTTATTAAAAAATCCGGATGACTCACCTATACTTATAGTAATTCTCTAACTCTCTGGCAAAAATTTTTAACTGCACTAAAATCCAACTGGCATAGCTACAAATGATGACCCCTCACTTTTTTAAAATTAAATAATGATTGCCAGAAACCCAGAAGCCAGACCTATCATATCATAAAATTTTTCTAAACAATTTTTTTCGCACCCTTTCGAAATGATTGTAGCAGAAACCCTTTCACATAATAACACAAGAAAAAAAATCTAAGCGAATGAGCGTCAATGCAGATCAATATAAAGGACAATATAAAGATGGTTGAAGATGGTATCCAGTTATCGCCAGAAAGCCAGCTCTACTTTCATCCCCAATAATTTTCTAGTCTCATCCTAATAGCCAATGAAAGCTGATAAATCAGAAATAGCGAAATAGCGCCAGAGGAATAAATTTACGTTCTATCGTATTTGTAATACAGATCCTATAATTTTTTCGCAAGAAAGATTCCATTTTGCTACTAAAATTAAAATTAAGAAAAAGTGAATGAACGATGTAAGTGCCGAATACTTCGCTGTAATATCGTTGCTAAATATTTATTTATTCTTATAAATTATTGGATACGTTTAGCAAACACGATAGCACACATAAATTAATTGAATAGCTTCAAAAAATTCGACATATAATTTGAAATTTGAACTCAGTTTTGAAGACATATTAGTCGACGATATTAAGCAAAAAAAGAAGTGAGCAGAATTTATCATTTCAGGTTAGCTCGTTCTTCCGGCTTGTCAGACGAAATGATTTTTGCCAGGAAGTCGCTTGGAGATAGAAACACAGGTAGGTTTCTCAGCATCATTCAGATAACGACACTCCATAAAAACAAGTATCGATAGAAAAAGCGGTGATATAAACACCGCAGTGAAATTCTTTCCATAACTTTTTCGGAATAGATGCCATAGAAACAAACATTCCAGAAACAATTTTTTAAATCGAGAATATGCAATAGCTTTTATTTATCACATGTTTACAAACTGAAAATATTCAGCAAAAAAAACTGAATGTTTGAAATAAATTTTCGGTAGTAAAGCATAATAAATAAAAATAAATAAATAATATATTTCGATATTTCTAATTCATCCTTCTTAATCTTTAGAATTCTTAATTCAACTTACCCGTTATCTAAAATTAAGTAAGTGAATGATTGCACAACGCCCTTCAATTCTGCTAGGTTTATTTCCACTGACTATTAATATAAAAAATATGATGTTTTTGCCAGAAGTCATTTGGCGATAGAAGTACAGATGTACAGTATGCCAGACTCGGAATCTTTACTGGAAAGTTTACTCTTGCTGGAGAAAAGTAGTGCTCACATAGCCTTTACTGCAAAAAACACTGCTGCTTAGTTATGCGGTAAAAGTTGCTTAATTTGTGAATAAAGAAAATGGATTCGATTTTTATCCTTTGATGGTATTACTATCACCATTGACGCCACCATTAAAAGTGGTGTTGTAAGAGGTCCACCCAGCCTTTGATTTCAAGGCCTTCCAAGAAAGAGTGCTCATCCTAGTAATTAGTGGAACTATCCAAACCAGACACGATGCGTGCTTAAGGAAATACAGTAAGAAATATTAGTGCAAAAGTTCATCCTATACGCTTATGGGAAATATTTCAGAGAAATTTTTAGAAACAAAGCATTTTTTTAGCCCAAAAATAACATTATGAACAAAGAAACACATTTAAAAACAGGATTTAAGTCTCTAAAAATTTCACGCACAACAGATTCTTATCTATTTGCATAGATCGATCTACACTGATAGATCGATTTGGGCGAATCAATCGCATATATTCGTTAACCGTTAGGGGTCATCGCTGATTAATTGTTCTTCACTCGCCTTTCATCTAAAATTTGACATTTTCTCATCATACAAAATAATATACAATAAATAATTGGAATCGATGATAACCATATTATAACCATAAAAGCAGTGGTCCATTTGAGCGCATTCTTTTAATTCATTACCATTCACCATTCGTTGTAATGAGCATAGAAAATTCTTATATAGAACAGAATAAAAACGATACAGAAAAATGATGAGCAATGCTAAATAATAAAGGAAACAATCTTAAACATAAATAACACTTTAAGTCATAAATATAGATAGCATTCGTTGGGCCTAATGGAGAAACGGCAAAGGAGAATAGATTGGCTCAGTGGATTAATTGTGGCCCAATTTAGGGCGTCGAAGCTGAAATTTTATCAGGAGTGAACCTGTCCTGTAAAAATCCGGATGATGCTGGCGGCTCATCTGTACTTCTATTGCTAACAGATTTTCTGCCATTTTTATTTAGTTCGATAAGCCAGTAGAGCGAGTCTAACCGGCAATGGTGGGTGATTTTAAAAAAAAGATCAGTATTCACTCCACTGAATAGTACAATGCGAAGCTTTTGCCAAGAAGTCTCTAGGCAATAACAATATAGATGGATGACACTCGAATTTTTTAATGGTTTTTTGATTTAATAAGTTTACTCCTGTCCGCAGATTCAGAGGCCTAAGTCGCAATATGAGTTAAAACACTCAGCCATCTTGCTTCCACTAAAAATGCTGGTATCATATGAATTCTTAATTCTTCATAAGATGTGTCGCTCGTGATCTTTTCAGAATATTCGTAATATTTGAAAATAATTTCGTAATGTTTGCATATGTTTATAATGTTAGCTTCATAACATTTGCAGATAACTTCACAATTTAAAAATGGACCAAAAGGCCAGAAAATATTTTTTAACATGAAACTTTATAACTTAATACAATGTAAATGTTGAGGAATCGAAATTTCAAAAAATGCCGATAAAACATTTAAATGATCATTATGATAAAATGCCATGCATAGAAAAAATTGACAATTTAAGGATGCAAGGAGTGTTACCTTGAGTTGCTCAAAGCTGCAAATCCACCTTCAATCCGTCTTTGATATAAATTGAAGTAAGTATCAAAGCAAAGAAATTCCAAATTGTACTTTAAAATTTTAAAATCATAGAATCGAAAAATTAACCAAGCAAAAAAGTAGAAAATAGTGATGAAAACTGGTAATGACAATCTGAAAAAGATTTATTTTGTTACAGGTTTTCCATTATTTGCAAAGAGACATTTTCATAACTAAAAAATTCACACCATTATAGACTTTCATTTGCAATATTACAATATTAGATGTAATGACTGTCGTTATTCAGAGTTGAAACCCATCTTTTACCTCCAAATGACTATTTGACGAAAGGAAATGACTCTAATAATTAGGTTATTAAAATAGTTAGCTCCATAGTATTAGAAAATAGTAGGATTGGAAATTTTTGTAAAAGCGTTACTTAGCCATAGAAATAAATAAATAGGATCACCGGCACCACTCAGATTATCTAAGCTACTAACCCCTCGGTTATCCTACCTCACTGGTTGTAGTGCATCCAGTCCCACCACAAATATGAAAGTTAGAGGAAATTGTTGTTATAATCAAAAAATTCGCCGCCAAAATAAAAAATCAAAATTAAAAATTTTAAATTATAGTTTCTTTGTCTTGATTTGCATTTCAGAAAAATAACTGTCAACAGTTTCTGAATTCATTTAAAATGAATTTTATCATTTAGCTCTTATCGTTTCTGGTTATATTTGTTTTTGGCTATTAAAATGGTTGCTAATAAGAAAATTTTCTGGGCCACGGACAAAGATAAAAGTAATGGGAATAATCTAATGTAAGAATTAATCGGCGGTAGAAACACAGGTGGATCGCTACCCAGCACCACAGCTTTTTTAATGCCAGCACTACTCCTTTCAGGAGCACGAACTGAAACTGCGCAAATCATGCTATTCCATAGTGGCCTTCACTTAAAAATAAATGAAGACTTTTCAGAAATACAATAAACAAAGATGAAAATAATGGGAATAGTCTAATGTAAGAAATGATCTCGCAAAAATGGTTTGCTGCATAATATACAATTTATGAAGAGAATTTTTGGGAAAATATCGGACAAGCTGACCAGAATGCGAGAAAGAAAGAAACCAGCGAATGCTGAATATTACTAAGAAAAAAATGGAATTTATATAATTGTTGTAGGCAAAATTATTATTTGAAATTTCAGTTAACTGAATCATTTCAGTTAACTGAATCATTTCAAAAAACCCTCAACGAACTTGCTGAAAGAATTTTTCATCGTGCTAACAAACAGAAATGCCGGAAATAAGGGCGCCCACTTGCACAGCGCACTTGAGCACTTTTTGCGGAGGAAAATTGTCTAAATAAAACTGGAAACAGGTTTGGCTGAAAGTCTCTATTGAAATGTTAATGATTATTCTCCAGAAAATACTGGCCATTCTGTCTTCTTTCGTTCCACTCGCTGCTATTGCAATAAAAGTCTTTCGCGAGAGAGCTGCTTGGGGTTAGAAGTAAATGAAGATTTCTAGCCGGCTGCTGCCTGCTAATAATCGAGGCAGCGCTGCCGAAGTCTGGTCGAATCAACATCGTTCCTTCAAGCGAATAAAAGGTTGATCGTTGTTTTTTATCAACAAATCAGATTCTTAAATAACTCATAACAGAACGCTCATCTAATAAATTTAAATTTTCTCTTCTTAATATTATCACATTATTCAATAGAAAACTTGCTTACTGGAATAATGCTAAATAAGTTTTATTCGATTTCCTTCACGATGTAATAAAAATAGAAAAATAAAATTTTGTAATGAAAGCAAACGAAGCTTAGTAGCGCTTAGCTTTGCTTTGGTCCGCTGAGTCCGCTGAGCTGCTCGACGCGGAAAATTCACTCGACGCTACAACTACAGATGGGTTTTTGACACAGTCGAGTTCGCTCCGTCATTAAAAATAAGAAATTAATTTCTAATCTATCACGGCGATTAATTTTAATGATCAAATGATCAGTGATACTGCTTGGAAATTTAATCGAATTTTTCTAATTGTCTACATTTTTCCTGTTTATAAGTGTCCGCAAAATTTCCAATCTATTTTTCAGTTGAATAATTTGAACAATTCTAGGAAATTCTTCTTCTTTTTCCAATTATTTTTTCTCTTCAGCAACTTTCATTCTGCAAAGATGAATAAGCAGGGGGGTTTTTTCTAATTTTTTGGAAAGTCGTTATTATTATTTTACAGTTATATTTTGGAAAATTATTTAGGAAATTGTGTTTGCCGCAAATTTGAATCTTTTAAAATATTCATTTATTTTATTCATTTATTCAATATTGAATCAAGAAGGGCAAAAAGCCATGCGCAATCGCTGTTAAAAGCAACAAATTATTAACCTAAAAATTTGAGATATTTTCCTTTTCCTATTTTCCTTTTTTTATGCGAATTCATTCGTTTAGTTCATTTTGCCAATCCTTTTAATTCGCCAATTTTCGGTATATTTCGGTATATTTTTGGTGTATTCTCGGTACATTTTGGCATATTTTCGGTATATTTTGGTACATTTTCGGTATATTTTCGGTATATTGGTATTCGGTATATTTCGGTATATATTTCGGTATATTCAGTATGTATATTCTCAGTATATGCTAAAATAAATAAAATATTTAAAAGTTTATTTTTATTGGTGGGAAGGCTGAAACTGTGAATGCCAAGTGAATGTGAATGCTAAATAGTATTGTATAAGAATAACTTATTTATTTTAAAATTTAAGTTTACAAAAATTTTATTAAAACTTTACGAAAATTTTATTAATCAACGAAAAGATATTCGCGAATTGCAAATTGCAAAACTGCTATATTTTTTCGAAATTTCTCATGGAAATTTTTTTGGACTGTTCCAGCAAACTGTCGAGAAAAATTTGTGGGGGCTATTCCCCATAATCTCTTCCAGTTTTTTCGGAAAATTAAAGAATTACAGAAATTTTCCGAAGACCGAGTTCAATGCTGCAAGATTGAAGCCGCAGTTCTTTAAAAGTCAGCTTCTCTGGTTTTGCATTTTGATTCCTTTAGGTTTGGGTCACCAGTAGTTCTCAGCATTTTTGGTTAAGGTAGACTCGATTCACTTTTAATATTGTGTAAATTTTTTGTGGGGGAAGGGTGCGGCTTTGGAGACGAGCCACAGCCATTTAGCTGTCGAATAAGTATAGCATTTATTCAGTGATTTCCTTTTATATCAATGGTGGAAATTTGATTTAAGTTGTATTTGTCAGTTCTTCTGAAGTCGAAACTCTCGATCTGCTTAACTGCAACCATTTTCGATAACTTTTTTATGATAGTCTGCCTGTGAATAGAGGCGAAATGTGGTGTGCGTCGCGGAGGAGAGTCTGGCGAGTTCCATTTAGACTTTCGGAACATCGAGGCAGTTTAGTTTTAGTTTAGAGCTGCTAATTTCTTTCGTTATTTTTATATTTTTAGTTTCGTAATTTTTATTTGAAGCATTTAAGCTTTTCGCCTAATATAATATTGATAACAGTGATAATATTGACAATACATACAAAATTTTGAATGAATTTTCATTTTCTTTTAAATTGTTTTTAAATTTTTATATTATAGATGAGTGATAACGGCAGTGATAACGATGGAGATGCAGACATGAACAAAGGAAAACGATGTTTAATTTTGTCGAAGGCTTCACGCAGTTCTGATAAAAATGGTAAACGTCAACGAATTCGGATTCAGAAAGTCGCGGTAACAAGTTTTTGTTGCTTCGTAGTTATTTTAACCCTCTGCAGTGACTCTCCGTTATCAAGGAAAGGCAAAGAGAATAAAACCACAGAAAAAAATGTGAGAAGGAAGAGAGAGAATGCTTAAAGAAATGAAGTAACATGCGATGAGGATTTTTCGCAAAAGTGGACCAAAGGGAAGGAAAGAGAATGAAGAGAGAAAAGGAAGATAAAGGATTTCATCTACTGTGCAAGATAAATTGCAGAAGAGGAGTGCTATCGGTGTTACACATTATTTAAAAAAATCGTTCTTTATAAGCTAGTTATGTGGCTTAGGCCACTCATCAATTGTGGATTCGATTTCTTCCCCTGTAGGAAGCGAAACTGGCACTAAAAGTAAGATCTGAGTGCTGCCGAAGAACGGTTTATACCTCAATTCTTATAGTTCCTTAACTACTGTCTTGCAAAAAAGTTCCACCGTAGTAGTCAGTGAGGCAGCAAATTAGAAATATTGAGAAAATAAGAATAAGAAATAATTCTACCATTTTAATGATTTAGCACCGAATGAAAATCGGTTATAATGGAAAATTTGAATTTACTTTTGATTTAACCTATTCGGTTAAAAATATTCATTTTGTTTTTATTTTTTGTTATAAAGGCCTTTTATTAAGAATGAAAAAAGAGTTAAGAATTCTTGGAAGTTTCCAGTTTCCAATTTCTAGTTTCCAAAATTACAGGCAAAACGAGCCAGAAGAGAAGCTCGAAAAAAATTACTAGAGAAATTAGGCGATGCAGCTCCACCAAAGCAGCAGCCTCGAACCATTGAGAACACTCGAGAATATGATATGACTATGGTTTCTCCTGATGACGAAGAAGTAAACTTTTCAAATTTTTTTCAAAATTTCGTAAATAAAAAATTATTTCTAGAATTTGTTTGAATTTTGTTTTATTTGTTTTTTTGTTATTTATTTTTTATTGTTACTATAGCTTTTAAAACAATGCTACAGTTTTTAAGGAACAAAATTTAGTTTATTTCTTTTTTATATTCCTAAGAAAATATTTTTGGAGATCACACGTAGCTTTTGCAATTGAGTTACATATTCATTCAAAATTGATAAAACTGATGGTTATTTATTAATGGAGTATTTCAGGTGATTTATGACGAAGCACATGATGAAATGAGTTCATATTTTAGCAGAATTACCAAGCCCAAAGTTTTGATCACAACATCGGTTCACGCCAAAGTTGTTAGTTTTTTATTTATCGATTTCGCATAGAAGTTCACCATTGAAAAACTTTAGAGAGTAGGTTCCCAAATTTTTTGGCTAATCGTCTCCTTTTCTAAATTTGTTTTGCTTCTCTTGGGTTCATTGCTTCTCTTTGAATTGGGTGTTTTTTATAAAATTAGGCTAACTTTAATGATAAAAATTTTAGATCATATTTATATGTAATTTATATGTAATGTATATGTAATTTTTATATTTTAAGTCGAATTAAAATAGGATACCGAAAAAATTTTTAAAGCTCTCATTTCTAAAAAAAAACAAAACATTTTTGTAAAGGTTTTATAAACGATAAAGCAACATAAAATACACAAGACACAAAATTGAATTCATAAAGAACATAAAGATTAAAATGAAAATAATTATCCAAAAAGCCAAATGAAATGAAAAGCGTTGTAATTCTCTTGGTTTTGGGCAAATTGGATTTGTCTCTTTGCAGTTATAGATCTGTTTCATTACATTTGCTATTCTCTCAAATAGACTGTCTGAAACATCAATAAATCATTCGGCAATGAACCATTTTCATTTTGAAAAACTTTACAGATGAATCAAAGATATCATAAAATCAGTGTAAACAGCATGTACTCATTGCTTCGTTGCTCTTTACTGAATTTCTTTATCTTCATGAAATTTGCTTGTTTCTTCTTTCATCAAGAGTAAGCCTGTCAAATTAAAAACCAGATGCTGGGATCTCCAAGTAAACTATATGATGGAAAGTCTGGTTATATTAATATAAAATCCGTGTCCTCCTTCTACCCCCTGACTTGATGGTGCATGTGATTAGTATGCAGGCCTTTGGTAAAGCCATTGGTAAATGCTAGATTTGGGAACAATATGAGCTCTCGAGCAAAAATAATTACTCGAGATTTGTTAATTGAGATGAACAACTATTAATGCTCTTGATGCACATGGTGAGATTCTGGCCATAGCAGCGTGAAAGATCAGAAACATCAAGCTTGGAACATCAAGCTTCAGACGATAACTATCCATATTTTATTTAAATATTATTTGGACATTGCATATTAGAAATTCTTTGTCACTTCGGATCAATTTTATACCTGGCGAGCAGAGGTAGCGTTATCATCATGAAGCCTTGGATAATTCAGGCGAAAAACGATGAACGTTTTGTTTGTGCAGAACTTCATTTGCTAATAGTATCTCTTAGAAAAGGTGATAAGGTATATGGTTATAATTGGAGGAGATCGCAATATTTTGGTGAATCAGTGTCGTGATGTGCTCTGTAGTTGGCAGATATTCGCATAATGCGCTAATGCCGAAAAACATGGATTTTTTGCTACCAATACATGCTTCCGATATCGAAGAAGATATCTGCACTTAGATCTCGGAATGACTAATATATCAAACAGATTGATTATATTCTTGACCAGTAATCATTGGAAGAGTTCCGTACTATATAATCATTTTCATCGGTGAAATTGACAATTTTTATGAATCAGATCGCATTATTGTCCGAGCTAATGTCCGCATAAAAAAATAACTCGCGAGGAAAGGCGTTTCCTTTCCCAGTATCATTCAGTTCTCAGGCTAAAAGATTTTGATGCATTAAGCGTATTTTAGATCGAATTATCGAAATACATTAATGTAAATGATCAGTAAAATTCGTAGTATCTGTTAACGGCCGATGAATGCTGGTCCCAAAAGCATTTCTCTTAAAGTCAGCCAAATTTGCACCAAAATATACTACTCAGAATTGTGCATGGATATCGGAAGTATCTTTCCATCTGTCTAGTGATATTGCCCCAAATATGGAGACGATTGTTTGAATAGGAACATATTATGAGTCTGTTCCTTTGTAGAGCTACCATAACTCGAGGTCGGTGAAATGATTGAGGATATTAATAGTTGTATCTCAAAATTATCAAAGTGCGCTTTATATGATGGAATGAGTTCTTTAAGGCCAAACTAAATTACGACACAACTATAACGACACTGTCATTATAAATAGAGTACAACCAATCCACTTTTATGGTAAAAATTTTGAAGCTCTAATGATATTGTTTTTATTGATAATAAATAGATTAGTGGGTTATCTTGGGTCGGAAACCAGTTCCATAAATTCCATAAACAAACCAGTTAGAATTAGAATTCCATAAATTCCAAAAGCAAAAAAAAACCAAAATTTAAAGAAATAAAACGAAATCTTTCATAAATTGTCCGGGTTTTGATTGCTCGGTTCTCGATTTCACCAAGAGATAGGGAACTTTGAAGGCTACAAAGAAGGAGAAGATCCATAGATGCCAAATTACATCACGAAATACAGAGATAATTGCCTAATTAAAGCAAAGAAAAAATTTGAGAAAATATTTGTAAAAGAAAACGCTTTTAAGAGAAATATTTTCAATTCTGAATTGGCAATGGCCTTTTACATCAGAAAAAATGTTAGCAAATAAGAATAGTACAAGATTAAGTCAAGATTACAAAGGTTTTAAAGAGTAAATTGGGCTTTTTTCATCTATCGCTTCTCGAAGTTCGGAACGTGTGCTTTAAAATAACGTTATATTATTTATTAAAGCTCACATTTTTTATCCATTTGCCTATATTTTATCTTTATATTTTCTGGATGGGTTCCTTATATTTGCTTCAATTAACTGCTTCTTTCTTAATGTTTAAATTTTTAAACTTAAATGGTTTGAGATGACCAGATCTCTTGCAGAAATCATTTAAGTTTTGCTGTGAGCTACAAAAATGTATTCCTGATGCTGAAATTTTCACGAGAAAAAACATACCCCTCAAAAAGGTTGTTCAACAAGCAAAAGAAAAAGAATATAGTGATTTGATCGTCGTACATGAAGACAGAAAAGTACCAAGTCAGTCTTATCTTACATTTCTTATCATTTAGGTTTAAATTCGCAAAAATTCACATGATATTTATTAATGCTGTAAGTTTTTCATATTTAGACGGTATCGTTTTGTGCCATTTGCCTAATGGACCGACTGCTTATTTCAAAATCAACAGCCTTAAATTCAGGAAGGATATCAAAGTATATTTTTATAAAAATAAAAAATAATATTTTAATTTTATTCCATTTAACTTGATTTATTTTCACAATTTTTATTTTATTCTAGGGAGTTGGTGAATCAACTGGGCATCATCCTGAGTTAATTCTTAATAATTTCAATACAAGGCTGGGCCACACGATTGCGAGAATGTTTGCTTGTCTTTTTCCTCATAATCCGATGTTTGTTGGTCGGCGAGTGGTCACCTTTCATAATCAGAGGGATTATATTTTCTTTAGGCATCACAGGTTTTCAGTTAAATTTAGTTCAATCGTTTAAAATTTTTTATTTTTTCTCTTGAATTCAGTACCCAATTTAATTTCAAAGTTTCATCGAATCTCATCATTTCAGGATCTTTTTTTTTTATTTAGGTAATAAACTTAACAATTCCGATTTTGTAATTTTATTTTTTCGTATAGATGATTAAATGATTACCATTTACCATTTTTGCTCATTTCGTTCGTGAAAAATGCTGTTAAAATTTTTTATCAGGACAAATAGGTTGCTCACATTACTCAGATTTTATAATAATAGGTATGTTCTTGTCGGTAGCAGCAACCCAACTCTTTCCTATCAATATAATAATTTGAATCACTATTAATCACTATTAATTAATCTTTTCAGTCTTTCACATTTTTCCATTTTCTAGGTATGAATTTAAAAAAGAAGGTGAAAAAGCGAGTTTACACGAATTGGGGCCACGTTTCACGTTAAGGTTAAAATGGTTACAAAAGGGTACTTTCGATACTCGTTATGGTGAATATGAATGGGTATTAAAAGTTAGTTTTCCTTTTCTCATTCATTTTTTATGTTTGTTTAATTTGATGTATTATTCTTTAGTTGAATCATTCATCAATCATTCATCCATTCTTTTAACATTTTTAATTTGCATTAATTTGTGCAGCGAAACAATTTAATTCTTAGTTTGTAGTTTTTATTAAATTTTTTCAAGAGGCATGAAATGGAAACCAGTCGCCGACGATTTTTCTTATGAAATATGGTATAAATATTCTCTAGTTCTTTTGTGTTTTATAAAAAATTCCTTTTTTCTTTATTTTATAAAGGTGAAAGTTGATTTTTAATGTACTTATCCGTTAATTTTACATATTGTTTACTTCATTCTGGTAGTCTTATGTGCATAAAATTTTATAAATTTTAAAATCACTATCGAGTGATTTTCATAATAATGATTTTTATAAAAAATTTTCTTTTCAAATGCATTTTTGATTATGCGATTGATTATGTTTGTTGAAAAGAAAATGTAAAAAACTTAATTATTTACAAAAAACTGGTTCGAAAGCATGTCTTATTCTTAAGCCTTTTACTATGCCCGGATTGTCGCATATTTGTCACGGGCCTGGTGGTATTATGAGCATTAAGACCAGATCTTTTCACCATAGAGTCACTTGGCAATAGAGTTGTAGATGGATCCACAGCAGCCGAATTTTTAAAATCATGGCAGATTTGCTCCTATCAAAGACAAAGGCGATAAAGATAAAATTAATAACAGGAAAAATAAAATATAAAAGAAAATTTAAAAAAGCGAAAACTTATTTCGAAAGAAAAATAAACTGAATTTATTCCTATCTTTTTTACAGTTATTTGTATTTGTTTAAATAACTGTTCTATTTAAATTTTATATATATCTTGTTCTAACAACTCTCATCATTACAGGTAAGGTTAACTCTGTTGGCTACAAGGGTAAGTGGCGCGGTCCGATGCCATCGTAGATAGTAACAGAAGACATTCCTTTTTCCATCGTCTAAGTCCATATATTGCTGGTCCACTTGTACGTTCAAAATCTTTTCTAATCGTATCAGTCCACATCTTAATTGGCATATTTCGTTTTTGACACCACCCGTCACAAGGTTTAGCAAGTAACGAAATAAACTCCTCAATTCCTGTGATGGACGACTGAGAATGTACCCTAACCAGTGAAGGCGGCGCTCTGTGAAAACACATTCAGCTACCGTTATCCGGAGTGTTATTTCGTCTTTTGCCTGGCCATTTGGGACTGGAGTGGCTGTAAGATATTTAAAGTCAGCTACTTCCTTAGATAACTTCTTAATATCCTCTACTCTCATTGGCATGTCTCAGAGCCATATAGCAAGATCGAACGAATCACGGCTATATAGATGCGGACTTTCGTCTTTATCGTGATTTCGCGACGGTTCCATGAAGGTTTCAGCAACCGGAAAACACATTCAGCTACCGTTATCCGGAGTGTTATTTCGTCTTTTGCCTGGCCATTTGGGACTGGAGTGGTTGTAAGATATTTAAAGTCAGCTACTTCCTTAGTCGGCAATGAATTGATAAAAATAGATATTTTATCAGCATTAGCGTTATCAGCATTTTCTTTATAAGAGACGAAAATACTTTCGCTTCATTTACATTGATTTTGAGTCCAATTCTTGCTGCATTGTTTAACATTATTTGCGTTTCCTCGTAACTGTCAGCAAAAAGGACTATATCATTAGCGTATTCTAGATCTGTGATGTTCTGGACTGATTTGCATACCTCTTGAGTGCCGGCAAGCGATACCCATTATCCAGTCTATCACATAGTTGAATATTGTAGGGGAAAGGTCTCAGCCTTGTATACCAGTATTTATTTTGAAGGGGTCTGCCAGTTCCCCATATATATAGATCTGTGCCAAGGTATGCTGATAAAATGCCTTTTTGAGTCGAATGATCTTCTCTGGGATACCGTCACATTTCGTCACTTTCCAGAGCGCTATTCTGTTAAGCGAATCGAAGGCAGCCGCAAAAATCAATAAAGCAAGTGACAGTGAGTTCCTGGTATTTGAAGCGATGTTCTAGCTTAGCGTAAATATCTGGTCAGCATAATGGTTATGACGCATTCTGCTATCTCGTGTTGCCATGAGTCTATTTAACAGAAGGAAAGCAAAAATTTTTCAGGAAACGTCCAGTAGGCTGATTCGTCGGTAACTGTCGCAGTATTTCTTATCACCTTTCTTAGGAATTGGAAGCGAAATTGCTTTGCTTCACTCTTCTGGTATTATTTCATTTTGCCAGATATTTGAAAACAAAGAGTTCATGCTCTTCGGCAAAATGAAGACGTTCTCCACTGGCGCACTGGACCTCGATGCTATATTTGCCAATTACCGAACTAATCCTGACGGCATCATGACCTATGCGCGTATTCCAGTTTCTCCCGACTATGACCATGTCACCTCTCGGTAGAAATTAACATTCGAAGAAATTAGGAAGTTCGAAGATCCGCATAGAATTTATCTTTTTCGCGGCCATCTATGCATAAAATTGGGGCATATACATTGATGATCGAAATATTGCAGAACTCTCTTTTGAAACAAGCGCAGGCCATACGGCCATTTATTGGCTGCTTTTGCCTTCTGGACAATCGCTACGCCATTTCACTCCGAATTTCAAGACACCACAATGATATAGCCAATATCTTTGCTGGGAACCAGGTTTAACAATTACTCTATAGAGCAGACATGAGGAAGACGGACCTCAGATAAGCAAGAAACATCCACACGATATTCATAAGCGTTCTGCAAGCAGCTATAGTCAGCACCTTATCGCGCTTACAAATCGTTAGCGGGTAGGTTCTCGCCTCATTTGAGAGGTTTTGAGTCAGAAGTAGAATGTGGTCAGAAGACGAAGACGTCGTGCAAAGAGACCTGACCATTTCACCACAGACACATTTGGGGATAGAGATACAGCTGGATCCCCACTCGGATTTTTGATCATGACAGGTGTACTCCTGTTAAAGATAGAGAATAGTCAAAATAGATTAAATTTAAAAAAGAGAAATTTAAAAATAATTAAAATAAAAAAATAAATACATATCTACTACTTGCCAATAACTTTCCTCTCTATAATATGGGAAAGGGGCCTGTCAGGCATTATCATAGTCATCAAGGTTTATGACCACATGTGCCAGTGCATGAGTGAATTCAAAAAAGCATTGGGTACAACACCAGTCAATCGCTCAAGACTCAAAATTTCGGTAGATTGACTATAGGAAAGCCTATGACCCAATGCTCGCTCTACATATGAATCTATGAATATCTGAATCTATAAAAAGTCAACAGGATCCTAAAGGCATTCATAAAGGACTCAATGGGACTGTGGGAACGACACTTGAAGTCAGCTCTAGTCAACTCAATATAGCTATATATACTCAATATAGCATAAATGGCTATCAGGGTGCGACACATCAAGGTGACATATTATATCTCCTATTATTCTGCATAGATCTAAGCCTCCTCAGCCATATAATCACGAAAAGTGGATATCAATACAAATTCAAGAGGGAAACTACCATCAGCCATTTCCCTTATATGGAACATAAAAAAAAATGAACTAAATATTGACTCTCTGAGCTATATAACGAGTCAATACATTGAGGACATTGAGATGTCATTCGGATTAAAAAATATGGCCGAATGGTAAATAGGAGAGCTATTAAAAGGTTGATGGGGTGGATTTGCCATCAAGGCATAGCGAACGTATACGAGTATCTTGTTATCCCACACTCACTTGATAACCAAGTTGAGGAGGCAAGGAAGACTGTAGCATCTAAGTATCATCAAAGGACAGGCCAGATCTTGAAGAGATAGCTCAATGGGAAGAACAAAATCCAAGCCATAAATATTTGCACCTATTTATCAGTTACGCAGCTGGCATAGTAAAATGGATAAAGGAAGACTGCTTGATACTGCTGGTGTGAAGACCTGGAACTCTTCAACGCATTTTTTCACCTCAAGTTCAACATCCAAAGACTGTATACCAGCCGTGAAAAAGGCAGGTGGACTTGGTAAATGTAAAAACTACTATCTTGAACGATTCAAAATATTCAGAAATACATCAGCAAGATGGCACCAGTTGTTGAGCTTCTGAGAATACAGACATTGAAAACAGAGGAAATACCATGGCAAAACAAGGCTCATGGCTTGCATCATCGATATATAGCTGACATCTGCGAAATCCTACCAGTGGTTGGATGGAGCCGGACTAAGAGGTAACACTGTGGCATTAATTCTAGGAGCAAGCACTAAGCACTAGATCCATTGAAACATGGTTTTACAATATTAGACAAGATGCAGGTTGTGCGAAAATTCCTCAAAAACAATTCAACACAAAATAGAAAATGCAAGCAACAAAGGCCTAACCATATAGCTGGTATAATCTACAGAAATATCTGCATTTGGCTTATATTCTCCCAAGACTAGGTGGGAGATCCCTTCAAAAATAGCGAAGCTAAGATCCTATGGGTCTTTTCCTTCCAATTAAACAAACAACTAGCCAATGAACCAGATATCTTGGTAGTAGACCAGAAGGACCAGAAATTAACACATGTTCAGCAATACAATATAGCAATACCAGTGAGTTTTAGAAGAAGGAATACATGTGGAAAGTGAAAACTAGTCTCCGTAATAATTGATTGCATTAGGAATTGTGATCCCAAGCTATGGCTTTAATAGATTCGAGGAACAACATCACGATCTCCTTTCAGAAGAGCGCATTGCTAGGAACGAATTGCGCAGAAACTTCAATCTCCCAGGAGGTTGGAGATAATCCTTATTACTCACAGAAACTGAGGAAGGAAAATAAAATATAAATATAATAAAAATATAAAATATAATAAAAAATAAAATATAAAAAAATATAAATAAAATAAAATATAAAATATAAAATAAAATAAAATATAAAATATAAAAAAAATATAAATATATGTAATTTATATAAATATATATAATTTATTTTTTAATTCTTTATTCTAAAATCCTTAGTTTTTAATTTAATTTTTTAATTCTTTGCTTAAATTTACAAGGAATAAACTTAATTGTTTGCAGAAAATTTTAAGCCTCCAGAAAAGCGTAATAAAATGGCAGAGTGGGACAGAAATGAGCAGTCAAATAAATCTTTTAATCAGTCATTTATATAAATTTATATTAATTGTACATTTATAATGGATTTATTCAAGGTTAGAAGTATTAAAAAAGAT